GAGCCACCAAGATATGTCTTGTTCCCACCAAGGTTGGGGCATATTTAATTATTCACTGTAGAGGGAGTTTAAACAGTTCTTTAACACACAGGAGGTGGAAGAGATCTAGCTTATGCAAAACAAAGTCATCACTACTAGAAGAAAATTTTAAAAAATCTTCCCTGGGCATGGGCAAGCTGCATTATTTCAGGAGAATGTTTCTTCACTACCCTTTTTTCTTTTTTTTTTTTTTTTAAGGTTAGTGAAAAGTACACTTGTGATATCAAGAATGCTCCTTCTAATTTCCTGAGTTTGTTACAAAGCGTGGGATGCTCTACATTTTCAAGAAAACAAGATTAATTTTCTTAATTATGTGAATTTTTTTTCTTCAAGCTCAGTGATATCTGACCTCTTCTAGATGAACTAAAAAAGTTATCTGCCTGATTAAAAAAAAAAAAGCAAAACAAATCAAACCAGAAATAGATGCTACTATTTCTAATAAGTAATTTTTTACATTACAAGAACTTGATTAAATGCACTTGGAAACAGGATTTTATAAGGCAGAGCAGCTTGACAGCCTTAATTATTGCGAAGATCTACCAGCCTCCACAATAACATTTCAAATTGTATAAAGACTCTGTGGGAACTGCATTATGATCAGTGTAACAGAGCAGCTCAACTCTACCTTAGTTCCACAAATTTCAGGTTTGTTTATGCAGATTCATATTATATTTAAGAACAACGTTTTTTACTATTTTTCAACAACAAAAAAAAAAGATGGAATTGTGAACTTGCACAGAACAAAGCAAAGTCCAATACTGAGTTTCATACTCTTCGGGGGAAAAAAAAAAAGAAAAGGGGGGAAAATAATTTTTTTGGAAATAAATTAAAAAAAATTAAAAAAATAAAAATCACACACTGCTATGTTACTTGGAACTACTGCACCAACAAGTGTTACAGCTATTTAGAAGCTGTCCCAAGTATCTGATAATAAAGAGAATTAAAACTGAGAGCTGAAAATAAACAACGTATTTGATGCAAGAGGATGCAGAGAAAGTGCTTTTCCAATACTCAGGAACCTCTCCTCCTGTCCAGCACAAATGACAGATATCAGCTCCACCTTGCAAATAATTTATCTCATTTGGATGATGTTATTTTTGAAAGTGAACTCTGTCATCAGATAACCATGATAAAAATCTGCAAGAAAAAGGTTAGTCTTCCAAAAGGAAAGTTTCCAACTAGTTTCATATTAGTCTCCAGTATTAAAAAAAACCCAACCAATCAAACAAACAAACAAAAAAAAAACCACACCCAAATGTCATTTATGTCAAACAAATAAACCTCAAGATTTCTTCACAGATGTGCATCAAGCAGATGCAGATCAGCATTACAGTCAGGACAGCAACTACATAGATATCACAGTGCAGAAACTGTTGCATTATACTGAAATCTGCGCACTGTAGATTCAAAGTTGGGGTTTTTTTCCTCTTTCCTGACTTAGCCAGAATAACACTGACCTCATTGATACTAATTTTCATTTTTTATCTTAATTTATGCATTTTGTATTTCAACTTCATGTTTAAGAACTTTTTCTTGAAATATGTTTAAAAGACTAAGTTATCCAGACACTTCATGAATTTGAATGAAATTACACTTGAATATCTAAACTATTGAAAATAGGCAATTTTGAAACCAGTCATGGTAGATAATTAAAAATAGGTATAGGCAAGCCTCAGTGCAGGGGTACATGCTAATATGTACAAGATGAGGAAACGTGCTGGAAATATTCCATCTGTTCATCAGCCTGCACTGCCTCAAGAAAGGGAAGAGAACAACTCTGGCTTGAACTTAAATGGCGGCAATATTTACAGCCTTTTGCTCTACGCTAAGAGGGTCGAGGCAGAGCCAAGGTTTTGAAGGATCTGGTGAGAGTGCAGCTCGTGTTATATAAAGCCATGAGCACTTACGTAAGTGCTTTTCCTCAGAAACGCTACACAGAAAATTAAGCATCTAAAATCCTGTTGTATAGCCTGGAATAGTGAGAGTCAGAGCAACTGAACAACTTGCCTAGGGAGATTGCTGTGAGTCAACAAACACCCAAAATCTACATCCGTGGACCTTTAGCTTACTATTTCAACACTGATCTTCCAATCAGTTTAGCACTTGTTTGCTGCCATTAAAAAGATGATTCTTCAAGGAAAAAAAAACATATAGTCAATTGTCCCAAAATCTTTTTTTGATGGAAAGCAGGGAAGGGGAACTGTAGGAAAGTTCTGACATTTATTTTGTACTTTAACAGTGGTTGCAAACCAAACTAGGTCTAAACCCTAACCTACTGACCACACTGGGATCATAAAGTCATGAAGTCAATGGAAAAAAAACACTAAGTAATTAAGATGCACTCAGTCAACTGTGAAGCTGACGTAGTTCTGCTCTCCCCTTGTATTGTACAAATTAAACAAAGTCCCGACTACATTTTTGTCGTGGTTTAACCCCAGCTGATAACTAAGCACCACACAGCCGCCCTGTGAATTACTCTACTCCTCTGTTATTTTTACATATGCATCTTCCCCCAGGATTGTTAACCTGTTTGTCTTAATTTGGAGATAATTGGCAAGTTACTTGAAAACATATTGCAATATGAAAAGGTGACATTCCAACACTATTCTTAATAGCATATAGACATAGAACATTTGATAGAAGCTATACCTTTTTGTAAGGTTTTAACTGTAAGCATTGT